TTATTACCCTTGGGATTGGGATCAGCCCTTGGGATAAGGGCTTAATCCCTAACATTAATTGCAAAAGTTTTTCATTATCACGAATAAGGAGAAATGGTACGTAACAGCATTAGTTAGATGCCAACAACTATATCATAACATGCAAAATAGAGATACGCCATAGTTTTTGCCTCTCATGAAAAAGATAAAGATACACATAATGCTTGCAGAGCGAAAATATATACTCATTCTGTTCTGAACACTATAGGGTTCATGTAACCCGTTCCAAATTTAGTGGGAAATAAGTGCTTATTATTGTACATTCCTAACACTGTATTATCATGTTACTAAATGAGCCGAGAAACAAGATATTTCTGGCTTTTAGCTATTAACTGAGTTGTAAAGAATTTTTAGCAGATTGTTAAAATAGAAATCTTAAAAATTGTAACATTTGATGTTAAATTATATGTATCTGCTTTTACTGAAGAAGGTTTTAATGTGTTTCATATGTTTGTTGCAGGAACCGTTCATTTACTTTAGAATCCATTAGCGGAAAGCATGTGCCAGAAAGCACTTTGAAACAATTGAAGAAATCTTTTTACACAAATGTTCCTTCCTTATACATGGAATACATTACAAATGAAGTCGTCCCAAAAATTGGATTTGTTTTGGAAGGGGAACAGGAGCTATACCATGTAAAGGTATTTTGCAGGGTTTTCTTCCCTTTTTTTCTCTCTTCAAAGGTACATCCATTTTTTTATAATCCGGTGCTTATTATGTAGCTGTCTGACAAGATGCGACCTGATTCAACTCTCTCCTGCAAGTGTACAGTGACAACAGACAATAAAAAGCTTGAACTTTGCAAGGCAAGTTAATAAATATATATATATATATATATATATATATATATATATTATTTTTATTTTTATTTTTATTTTTTTATTTTTTATTTTTTTAATCTCTGTTTCTCTTAGCCTTGTAAAAAGTTTGTTATTTTTATGCATAGATTAGCAATCGCTAACCTTTCATTATAATTGCACAATCATTCCCCATCAGAAGAAACCATCCAAATCTTTGTTAATTTAATATATAACACTCATGGAAACAAGCTTCGCTTCTAATTTCTGGACGTTGTGTAAGAAAATCTAGTTTCATAAATTTGGACGTGTGATGGCCGTGTGACAATTTAATAGAGATTTGGCATATTTCCATTGTTACAGATAGATTGTGCAATTTTATAGAGGTTGAGGACAAAGCTGCTCCTTTTGAAAGGTTACAGACGAACTTGCTACTAGAGCAATAGGTTTGAGTCCAATAGTGAAAATTTTCGTATAATTTAGTTTACAATCAAAATAGCTGCATAAATTTGTAAAAAAATAAAAAATTCTTGCTTTTAATGGTTTGAAATCTGATTGTTGATTAACAAAATCATAAATGTGGATTATTCCTTAGTCCAAAATGTTCGTGCTTTTCTTTTTTTTTTTTTTTTTTTTTTTT